AACTTTTTACATAAAAAGAAAATAGGAGTATTTGTTATTTTATACAAATTTGTTTTGTTTATTGTTGTGTTTTTAATAAAAACGGGTATAGCTACAAATCATTTGCGGAATAATAAATAAATAAGGTAGCATACACGAGACCGCAATTAATGATAATTATCTATGATTGACAATAATCTATTAAGGATTAGAGAAAGATTAGGATCAATTTGTTATCCTAGATGTAGTATATAAACTCTACGCGATCATTCACATTTCAAACAAATCGAAAACTCAATTCAATAAGAAAAACTTTTCTACAAAATAAAAATGTTCACCTTAATCCTTTTGGGGGCTATTTTTACATTGGCTCAGGTAAGAATGTACTTAATATTATTTTTGAAAATTATTAATTATTAAAATTAGGCCAACAACCACCATGTCGAGGATCTTCAACCAAAAGTATTCCCACCCAAATCTCTTCATCGCCTAATATTATCAAAATCGCGCATCGACAACAAAATCATCAACGGAAACGAAGTCGAGCGACACTCAATCCCATACCAAGCTGGAATTTTCTTTAACCTTCCCAATGGTAAACAAGGTTTTTGTGGAGGTTCTTTAATTTCTAATCGATACATCTTAACAGCAGCGCATTGCACCAATGGGTAAAATCAATTTAATTTAAAACAATACAAAAAAATACAATATTTCTCCATTATTTATAGATCTTTATCTGCTGAAGTCATACTCGGTGCCCATCACATTTGGGAAGACGAACCCACCCAAATAAGAATAAAATCATCCGAATTGCGTACACATGAACTTTACGGAACAAATGGAAATTTGTATGATATCGGACTTATTCAGTTACCCAACCCTGTAAAGCTGAACAAACACATCAACACCGTTTCTTTGCCCAGTCGTAAACACGAAAGTCATTCTTTCGTTGATGAAGATGCAAGAGTCAGCGGTTGGGGAATAACATCCGATGATGCCACTGGAATTTCTGACGTTTTGAAGTCCGCTGAATCCTTCATTATGGAAAACTGGCTTTGTTCTCTATTTTTCTTTGGGGCGGTCCGTGATAGTCACATTTGTTCCGAAGGGCACACCAGTCAAGTATCGGCTTGCAGAGGTGATAGCGGTGGTCCGATCGTTGTTGATAACGTGCAAGTTGGACTTGTATCTTTTGGATCTGGATTTGGATGCGAAAGCATGTGGCCTACTGTGTATACGAGAATTACGAGTTATTTAGATTGGATCGAGAAACATACCGATGTTAAAATTAAAGAATAAGAATGTTATTTATATTATTTATTTGTGATGTAGATATTATTTTGTATTATTTATTCAGAATTAAATTATATACGAATATTTAATAAAAAATGTGAAATTATTTAAACAACTTTGATGTTATATATATATTTACAAATATATGTGCTTGACCAACATGCACAAATAAAACCAATGCTTTTTTTGTATTCAAACTATCTTTGCTAACTGAAAATTTAAAGTTAATGATAAATTCACAGCTCTCTATCCGCCTTACTTTTGAATGTATAACGAATACTGTTAATAATAAAAATATTTCCTGTGAATCTGTAATCTTGAGGACAAATACAATGAGTTCCTTCTTCACTTGAACCATATTAATTCTATGCATAACTTTTTCACCGATGTGACTAAAAGTATAACAAACCTGTGGTATCGACCTATAGATGAAGCGTTTCGGACGCAACCTCGGCTCATTTGAATCCTAAGTTCTTGAACAGTGTTCAGGTTTCCATCGAAAATGTATTAATGTAGTGCCTCAGTCGCAAGCGACCTCGGTTTGATTAAGTTATACATTTTGGCAGATTATCCAGCTTTATTCGGCTTATTTGAACCGTACATCCTTAAAAACTGTCCATCTTTTCATCGATATGGTATCAATGTAGCAACCATCCTGATAATGTTATGATGTTAAAGATGTTTTAATAGTATCAAAAGATCCCCAAATATCTATTTATAGGAGGATATATTAAAACCTCTCTGGCATTCCTTTGACATTAACGATCCTTTGATACCAGAAATACCACCCATACAGAGATGTCCGAAGTTTCAAAATATTTCTAATGATCTAAAGGTGCATTTACGATAAAGATAGGCTACAAAACAAGATGTGAAAACTATTTTATGGCAAAAACGGCAAAGGATATATTCAAAAATAAACAGATCGATTTGTTATGGACAATAACTTATTTATTTGCGAGAAATAAAAAAATGTAAACGATTCATTTGATAATCCAAAACATGTTTTTTGTATAGTAGAATACAATTTAGGTATTTTACGATCATATTCAACAATAGGATTAACGGCAAAAAGTGGTTTATTTAATGCGAAGATCTCGTTGCGTTTTATTTAAACCATTCAGATCTTCAAAAATAAAATTGAACTTCTTACTTAAAAAGAACATAGGAGTTTTGTTATTTTATACAAATTTGTTTTGTTTATTGTTGTGCTTTTAATAAAAACAGGTATAACTACATATCGGTTGCGAAATTCCGCGGAAAAATAAATAAATAAGGAAGCAGACGAGACCGCAATTAATAATAATTATCTATGATTGACAATAATCTATTCAGGATTAGAGAAAGATTAGGATCAATTTGTTATCCTAAATGTAGTATATAAACCCTACGCGATCATTCACATTTCAAACAAATCGAAAACTCAATTCAATAAGAAAATCTTTTCTACAAAATAAAAATGTTCACCTTAATCTTTTTGGGGGCTATTTTTACATTGGCTCAGGTAAGAATGTACTTAATATAATTTTTGAAAATTATTAATTATTAAAATTAGGCCAACTACCACCATGTCGAAGATCTTCAACCAAAAGTATTCCCACCCAAATCTCTTCATCGCCTAATATTATCTAAATCACCCATCGACAACAAAATCATCAACGGAAATGAAGTTGATAAGCATTCTATTCCATACCAAGCTGGAATTTTCTTTGACCTCCCCAATGGTAAACAAGGTTTTTGTGGAGGTTCTTTAATTTCTAATCGATACATCTTAACAGCAGCGCATTGCACCAATGGGTAAAATCAATTTAATTTAAAACAATCAAAAAAAAACAATATTTCTCCATTATTTATAGATCTTTATCTGCTGAAGTTATACTTGGTGCCCATCACATTTGGGAAGACGAACCCACCCAAATAAGAATAAAATCATCCGAATTGCGTACACATGAACTTTACGGAACGGATGGAAATTTGTATGACATCGGACTTATTCAGTTACCCAACCCTGTAAAGCTCAACAAACACATCAACACCGTTTCTTTGCCCAGTCGTAAACATGAAAGTCATTCTTTCGTTGATGAAGATGCAAGAGTCAGCGGTTGGGGAATAACATCCGATGATGCCACTGGAATTTCTGACGTTTTGAAGTCCGCTGAATCCTTCATTATGGAAAACTGGCTTTGTTCTCTATTTTTCTTTGGGGCGGTCCGTGATAGTCACATTTGTTCCGAAGGGCACACCAGTCAAGTATCGGCTTGCAGAGGTGATAGCGGTGGTCCGATCGTTGTTGATAACGTGCAAGTTGGACTTGTATCTTTTGGATCTGGATTTGGATGCGAAAGCATGTGGCCTACTGTGTATACGAGAATTACGAGTTATTTAGATTGGATCGAGAAACATACCGATGTTAAAATTAAAGAATAAGAATGTTATTTATATTATTTATTTGTGATGTAGACGTAGTTATTATTTATTATTAATTAAAAATTAACTTATTATTATACAGAAAGAAAAATAAAATTTAATTCAAGTAAATCCAAAATGACTAAATATTTATTTAACTGGTATACTTCAATGCTATCATAACGTAACCACTCATTTTCAAAAAATGAGATAGCCACGATTGCTGTAATTTGTAAAGTATGAAGCAGTTTTTGAACTAGGATTGTCAAAAAATATTGGAAAGTAAAGTTTTAGCATTGTGTTGAATGTTTTTTGAATTCTGGTGTTTTTTATGACTTCTTTACCATGAAAAAAAGGAACGGCTTGACGAACCAAAATTATCTTAGTTTGCAAAGTGCATACATAAGTACTGAATAAGTTGTTCAAATTTGAAAAGAATTCGTCCCATAGATTTCGAGATAACGTGGTCACCGTCTTGAAAGAAACAGTTTTCAGAAAAATGCGTTTAAACATTTAATGTTTGTTAAAGCAGCTACATCGGGTCTGTTCAACACTGTAATTTCCAAACGATTCCGAATATCGCAAATCACTTTAACCACATATTTGACATTATATTTAGATACAATTTAGATAAGTTGAATAAATAAATAAAGTTGAATTTTGAAAACAAATGTAAAAATATAGAAAGTAGATAATGAAAGAAAGATGTTTCAATAAAATAGTTCCAATTAAGACAACAACAATAATTTTCGTTATTCTACGTAATAATTTTAAACACAACTCATATAAAAACAGAACATTGTATAAAAATAGTGGATTTTACGACCAATTTATCATCTATCAATTACGAGTGATAAAACGAAAGTGATTTATTTAATGCGAAGCTATACTTGCGCGTTATTTGAAATAAAACAACATCAAACAGTACAATATAATAATTCATTCCATTGTGTATTATTAAAAAACGAGAAAAAAGTTTCTTGTTTTATAGAGATCCGTGTTGGTTATTGTTGTTTTATTGATAAAAATGAGATCAACTAATAAATCATTTACGGAATGTTGCGAAAAAACAAGTTGTCATACACGCGACTACAATTAATAGTTTATTTATTTCCCGTGTTTATGAATAGAACGATAACCTATTTTGCATGAGGATTATAGGGAGATAAGGATCAATTTATCATATTGTCCGGTTTAGATGTAGTATAACTGATAAACATAGTACATATAGTATAGTAATTTTCTATTGTCTAAGTTGACAACATCCCATTGTGAATGATTTTGTGTTTGTTTTTAATCAAAGGTGACAAAAACTAAAATAATCATAAATATAATTATAATTATTTATTTACTATGTATACATTAATAAATGGTTTTTATTTAACGCATATCCTAATCGTCTCTTTAATCCAAGACACATAATGGCTAACTCTAGTATAAACAGATGGAGCTTTGTATTCACACCCATATTTATGTACAAATGAGGCAATACCAACTAAAACTCCATCGACAACAAGAGGACCGCCGCTATCGCCATAACAAATGGATCCGAAACCACCTCTACTGTCAGTGCAAATGTTAGTATCTTGAATTAAAAAATCATCGTAATAACGTGAGCACTCAACATTGCCTATAATTTTAGTTATAGCGCATCTCAACTGTTTTGGGTAATCTTCGTATAAACGATCTGAAGTTGCACCCCAACCCGAGATTGTGGCAAATTTATTTACAGAAAAAAAGGGTTCCCAAAATAAAGATGGTAATGAAATTACCATTATTTCGTTACTTAACTGTACCGGATTTGGAAGTTGAATCAATGCGATGTCGTTTTTTAATGTTTTTGGGTTGAAGTTTTTGTGATTGTAAATACTTTTTGATCTCATCAAGGTGTAAGAACAATCCATGTTAAAATTATGAAGACCAAGATACACATCTACTAATAATGCACTTAAAAAAAATAATAAATTAATAAATAATTTTTTTATTAGTAAATCTTTTTATTTACCGTTCAGTGCAATGAGCTGCAGTTAAAACGTAACTTGGCGAAATTAATACTCCTCCACAATTAATATTAAAATAGTATTCGGGACAATTTAAAACTCCGGGTTTTAAAAATTCTAATCCAACTTGGTATGGGTTTGAATGAGGATATGCCTCGCATCCATTCACTATTCTTTTAACACGACGCGAGCTTTGATCATTAACCTGTTAAATCTCTTATTACAGTTAATAAAATCGTTTTAAAACGTACTTTACCTGAATCGAAATCGTGCCGAGTTGAATTAAAAAGAATAAAGTAAGGAAATTCATCCTTGCTCTTCTTCAGCGGGAACAAAACTAAAGATCGATGGGATTATTTTCTTTTATATACGTTTTTACTGTTTATATATATACTTTATTTTAGATAATAATATTTATAAAGCTTTTGAAAACATGTATTTATTTAATTTTTATATTAGAGTGATCTTTAATCCAATCTATATAACCAGTAACTCTTGAGTAAACTGTTGGCCATTGTGATTCACACCCAAGCACAGAGCCAAATGATACCAACCCAATTAATATATCATTAATTACTAAAAGACCAGCTCAAAACTCTGCTCTAATACGGATGCCGACCCTAATTTTATTATTATTATTATTTTTCTGCAAAAAGGCATAGAAGATCTACTTCCAGTAATAATATCCCTATATATAGCTTCAGCTATATACCTACATTATAGAGGAAAGAACTTCATTTCTCCGCAAAGGGATGGAAAAGGTAATTAAGCAATACCTTACGAATGAAGGGCTTGTCACCAATCCACTTCATCCAAGTCAACATGCTTATCAGAAAGCTAAATCAAAAAGTTGTAACCAAAAAGATGGCCCTATGTGGTATCATAGATATAGAAGGTGTTTTTGATAACACCACAATAGGTATAGAGTAGGTATAAGCATTAGTGGACCAAATAGCCGCATTAAGTTGCCCCTCAGGTCAGACATAACCATTTTTCAAACTTAAGTTCTTAATATAAACTTCTGCACACAATCTAGCGCTGAAAAACAACTAAAACTAGAACTAATACTACTTGTATATATTGGAATCCATGTTGCAAGTTAAATATGTAATAAATAATAAAATAACTTCTACTTGCTTTATTTAAATATACAGTCGTACATGTTTCAGGAAATTATTCCCATCTTCAGCGACAAGCTATTAAAATAATGAAAATCACATTAGATATTAATCTTATGGTAACATTTAAAATCAAATAACTAGAATTAAAAATGAAAAGTGAACTCTGAACATATTAAAAAAGAACTCACCGTCAGGAACCGTAAGAAGGATCACAAACCAAGCAAAACATATAAAAAACAATAGTTTTCTAAAAGAAA